ATGATGATGATGATGATGATGAAGATGATTGACTTAATTTCTGTGCCACCTTTTCTCCAAGACTGGTACTTGGAGACTGTACTTTCTCCAAGACTGGAGACTGGTACTTTCTCCAAGACTGGTACTTGGTACTTGGACTGGTACATATACAAAGTCACTCACAGATAGATTAGGTTATACTAGGCCATATGACACTGGGACAAGGTGAATATTTGCATGGGTATTTAAGGAACAATAGACAGGGCTGTTTATTTTTTATGGATCATAATCTTACGAGTTTTAGCAGCAGAGAAGAAAAATTTTGCCACTGTTTCTGTTTTACTTTTCTCAAAATCATTTAGCAACTACACCAGGTACCAATTAATTCGTCTATCTGTAAACTTAAGCAGGAGGGGTGAAATTAATCTTAGCCTCTCATCCTTATAAAAAATAGAGAAAAATAGGACATGTTCTAGAGCAGGGACCGGCAACCTATGGCCTAGGAGCCAGTTAAGGCCCCGGGCCCCGGACTTACCGGCCCAGGCCGAAGGTTGCCGCCGCCACCACCGTGAGCCGCTGCCGGGGTGCGTTTTCAGCCGCGCTCACTGCGGCCACCATTTTGGAAGCAAAAATGGTGGCCACGACTCGTTTGCACATGCATAGTACTCTTGCGCATGCGCAAATGCGTCGCGGCCGCGATTTGGACTACCAAAATGGCGGCTGCAACACGTGCCGTGGTGGCTGTGGCTGTGCACGCTACGACGGCGGCGGCGGTAGAGGCCTTGGCGGCAGTGTGTGCGGGGGGGTCATGCGAGGTGGCGGGGGGTGCACGTGCGCGCGCGCACCAACATTCCCCCCCCCCTTGGCCCAGCTGAGACCTGGGCTACAGGAGACCAGCCCAGGTCTCAAAAAGGTTGCCTGTCCCTGTTCTAGAGACTCAACAGAACCTTCACCACAAGGGCAAACCCATTCATTGTAGGGGGTTCCCTTATAGCGGCCTTCTAACAAGGCAGAGGGGATAACATTAAATCTCGCTTTAGTAAACACAGGTCGCTATTTTGGGATGGTCAAATTTAGTAAATAATGTGCCTCTCTTTCAAGAGTGAACTGCAACCCTAAACTGATTAGAACATCATTTTAAAACCACTAAAACCATTTAGGAAACCAATAATCCCTAAAGCTAGCTCTGATGTCAAGGACTAGAAACCATATGAAACAATGTCATCTTGGTCTCCCATTAGAAGCTCAAAAGGGATGGCGCCATTCTGACTTCCTTTGGGAAGGAACTGTGCTACCTAGGTTGTTACTATAGAGGAAAACCCTGACTCAGATATTCACTACCCTGGTCTCTCATGATAGTGAAACATCTGGAGGGCCTACACTGAGAATCTCAAATTCTAGGCAGATTCCTATGGGACAGGACAGCGTTAGGGCTTTGTAAATCAAACTCAATACCTTGAACCAAGCTCAGAAGAAAATTGCAGTTAGTGCATAACTGGTTATATGTGCAGCTTTTTCACACTACATAATTATAGTGCCATATCCCACTTTAACTCTCTAGACCAGGGACAGGCAACCTTTTTGAGACCTGGGCAGGTGTCCCGTAGCCCAGGTCTCAGCTGGGCCAAGGGGGGTGGGAATGGTGGCACGCACGCGTGCGCGTGTGCACCCCCAGCGCACGCTGCCGCCGCGACTACTACTGCAGCAGCCGCCGTAATGTGCGCGGCCACAGCCGCCATGGCGCATGTTGCAGCCGCCATTTTGGTAGTCCAAATCACAGCCGCAACACGTTTGCGCATGCACAAGAGTACTGCGCATGAGCAAACACATCGCGGCCGCCATTTTGACTTCCAAAATGGCAGCCACAGCTAGCGCGGCTGAAAATGTGCCCCGGCAGCAGTGCATGGCGGCGGCAGCGTGCGGCGGCGGCGGCAACCTTCGGCCTGGGCCAGTAAGTCCGGGGCCCAGGGCCTTAACGGGCCCCCGGGCCGTAGGTTGCCAGTCCCTGCTCTAGACTGTTTGCTATGTAATCCTGGGATTTGTAGTTTGGGGAGGCACTACACCTCTCTGGCTGAGAATATATATACTTCTCTGTAAGAAGTTAGAGGGGTTCACCAGGGTTGAGTTTCTTTATGCATTCAATGAAATTTGAGGGATAGAAAAATGTTCTGTATCAGACAGGATTAATGGGGCCAGAAATGCTTTAAAAAAGAGAGAAGCCAACTTACTTGCCTGTTTGCTTTAGAAGGATAATTTGCAACAGTTGGGGAAAGGAGTAGTTTTTACAGGCTAGATTGGAAGAGTTGACCATAAGAATGAGTTTAAAAAGAGAAAGAAACAGGCAGTAGAGGCAAAAGGATTCAGTTTGGTTTTGTAAGCAAGTTTGCCAGGTTGTGTGAGCTCATGTGCAGCAATACTTACTGTGACCAATATGTCTTGTACTGTAAACCTGGAGGAAGAAAATGAATATGGAAGCCACCTATGAAACCTTCTAATAGAATCTGTTCAAGGTTTGAGAAACTGTTCTAGGCTTGTGTACTTCAAAAAGCAAGGAAATGTAATGTTGGTCAGACTGTTGCTTGATCTATTCCCCTGTTAAGGAAAAAGCAACATGGGACATACAGTAATAGAAATAAA